AAAAAGCATTCGGTCAAATACTTTCGAGCGCTACTCTAGATAAGGGTGTAGATTAAAGGACGCATGTGACCTTCTTCATACTGCGAAACTTATTCGTGTACCGTAATGAGCAAACACTGAGAGTGCTTCTCAGCTTTGCTCACCGCCCAGTTGACTTTGATGTGAACTCTCTTATGCTGATTTTTGCACCGTTTCTTCAGTAAACCATCTTCAGGCTCACATGATTCGGCAGCGACCCCACAACTCGATAAGAAAGGTCCAGTAGCAGGTGACTTGTCGGGTTTTATTCGACGAGTAGCCAAAGGGCCATGCATCAAAGCGGGTATCAAAAGATGGGCTATTTGTCAAAGGTTCGACCAGTTTGATCATTTCGTGTATTGTTGGCTTTTTGAAAGATTTTGATGATCTTTTGTAAAACAGCAGAAATGACTTTGCTTGTAGAAAGTCACTGAAAGAGCAAGCTACCAGGTGGTTAGTCAATAAATACAGAAACTTTCCAGTTACTTGATTCGTGAAGCTCTCGAACATGGAATTCGCTATCTCGATCTACGTGTTGCTTATCCGCCAGCCAAAAATGCGAGCTCATGACAAGGTGCGCAGTTTTAAGTTCATCAGTTACATCTCTAGAGGAACGGCAAACATTTGAGCGCTTGGAGTGCAAGGCATGGCCGATTGAGCAGCAAGGCCATGTCCAGACAGCTCTCCAGCCTTCCAGAAATGTTTTCTCTGACCGGGGAATAGTGGCATGGAAGGTTTACCTACGTGACTTGGGTAAAAATTGATCTTATGTATATGGTCGCAGCGTCAACTTGGCTAATTTTGACCATGGTTGAGCAGAAGCTCGGGGCGACGTTCATCACAAGACAATCTAGAATTTCAGACCTCAACTTAATTTTAAAGCAACGGTGCCCACTGCTTACCTATCTCCTTCCTTCGCCATTCAGAACCACGGCCCTGAAGATGTGTTTAGCTCTTTTGCGTGCGATCGGGGCAGACAGGTGAACGTATTATTGACGGACCATGGTTTCAACCAAATCGCTTTCTAGAGGCATAAGCCAGTTCTTGATTAAATGATGGTTCTGAACTGCCAAATGCCTCTCCTTTCCCGACAACACGACGAGAGACTTAGGGGATTCCTAGTTGACTAGCGTAGTAGCGGAACCGCGCTATTATTACTTGAACAAGGAGGTTCGGAGAGCCGTTTTTGATTTTCGGAACCCACTGAGGTATTTGAAAAGGATCTGGTGGAACTTGGAATACGTTAATAATTGCAGATCATCCTTGCTAGCATAGGAAAAGTGCTAAGAAGAACAACAGCACATTTCCGTACAAGTGATAAATTGTCATTCACTTTCACTGATCACACAAAATTCGGTCGCGATCCCCTTGCTGCTACCGCGCTTGAATAAGCACATGCACGAGTTTAAGTACTGTCCGAGGTTAATGACAGACTCAGCATCCTCTTAACTCACGCCACCAACGGAAAAAAAAAAAAAAAAAAAAAAAAAAAAAAAAAAGGGGGGGGGGGAAAAAAAAAAAAAAAAAAAAAAAAAAAAAAAAAAAAAGAACAAGGGGAGCGGCCGCGATATACAACAATTAATGGCATAGCAAAAAAAATATTTCGTGCTCTCTAGATTTTCTGGCTTTGAAGAAATCGAATTATCAGTAATTTTATCTTTTTTCAGGATTTTCGCCTAATTCACGGACTATATGGCATGACTTTAAAGGACTGCCTCACACAAGTTTCGGACTTTTTGAAGGAGAATGAAAAAGAAGTGAGTGAAGTAGAGGGCTGGGCCAGCGAGTGGGCTACTTGTATAGGTGTGAAAATGGAGAACTATGTCATAATAGAGGTGGTGTAGTGCTTTACGAAACGTATCATACATATCTGTGCAGTGCTGAAACGCTGAGTTCAGATTTGCTTTCCTTGTTTCCTGAACTCTTGTCTGAATGGAGTTGTGAAACGCAAAGGTGCACCGGGAGTGGGCACACAGATTAGAGTGATCCTATGGCTAGCTTACTTTTCTGCCATTTTCAGTAACATAACTAGGAGAGCTTTCGCATCGCTAGTTCAGTATGCATGCGTATGTTCACCTGTACAAAGAATTTGAGAGTAGTTAACAACAGGACGATATTTGCCGTTGAACTACACTAGCGCCGGCGCCAGGTAATCATTTTTTTTTTTTTTTTTTTTTTTTTTTTTTTTTTTTTTTTTTTTTTTTTTTCCGCGTGTGGTTTTCGCAATCACGAGTCGAACGTCCCCATTGGGCAAAGTTCTGGTCAATTCTGGAATGTAAAACCCAACCTCGAGAAATTAGGCAGTCTCTCACTCTGTTTCATCCATCAGCCCATAACATCCAAAGGCTGATATTGGCATGAATATTGAGCTTTTAAGCGCTTAAAGGCACAACCCAGGCAGAGGTTTTTTATAACTCTTCTCTTCGGTCAGAAGTATAGAACCCTAGGGGACAATCACAAATGTGGCGTTCACGTGCACGGAATTCGACCGACAAGAACGCTTTGGGCTTGCAAAGTAAGCTGCTCGAGCTGCAGCGAACGAGCTCTCTTATCAGGCCGTTGTCTGGTGCTCTCTCATCTGATGCTCTCTCGCCCCATACTCTCCTCTTCGCGCTTAGTCTCTCGTTCCTTTAGCACAGCCAATTAGGAAGGTGAGTGAGCCCTCAACCTGAGCGTTTTCGACGGATTCTTTTCCTTTTTTCTTCACTGCCGGCCCACTTGGCACCGATACATTCACATTCGTGTGCAAGAGCCACACCAGTGCGATCCTGGGGCATGCCTTTAAGAAGAGACAGGACAGGGCTTGCTCTGTCTGTCTACATCTCTCTAGAATCTGTTGGGCATTTTTTCAAGTACAGGAAGCACCCAGAGTCAACCCTGCGTTGCGCAGTTCGCAACGGCACGTTGAGAGATCCTCAACGCACGCTGTATGGGCGGAGACACAGACGGCTCGAGCATGCGAGTGTGAATGTTCGCGCGAGAGAACGTGTCTAATCGGGCGAAACTGCGCAACGCAGGGTTGACTCTGCCCGCCCTCCATCCCCCAAGCCCCGCCTTCCGCTGCCGATGGCCACGTGACGCTGCTTGAAAAGAGCGGGCGCAGTTGCGGTAGCGGTTGCATTGCGGCTCAATGTCTTAGCGACTGGAACTAGGTTTGCGTAGAATAGAGGCCTTTGCTCGGGGCCATATCGGAGGTTTCTCTTGCTTCTTTTTTCTTTTCCGAGCCACTACCTACCTTCAGGTTCATTACTCAACCCTATACCAGGGGTCTCATCCAGTAAGGGGGGGGGGCATGTGGTGCGACAGTTCATATTGCATGAAGTAATCCTTTTTCAGGGGAGGGAAGCTCCGGGGTGGGTGTAAAAGTTTAAGCGAAATGGTTCACGCACCCCGGGGATTCCCTCCCTTGCAAAAATTGGAATTTCTGTAGCCGGCAAGAACTGTCACACCACATGCCCCCTTACTGGATGAGACCCTATCTACATGTGATTGTAGCTAAGAACTAAAAAATAAGAGCGGCAAAGAAAACCTTTTATTACCGATAACTTCCGAAAACGAGCATAGCAGATAGTGCAGAGAGCAGATCTGATCACTCCGTCAAGATGCTTGCAGAATTGTTCACCGTATTTCATTCGGCCGGATTGACCAGATGACGTTTCCTAGTTAGATTCGATTTACGCTGTTCCTGCACTGTTAGCTTCTTTGAACTCCCTAGTAGTTATTTCTGAGTTTTCTCTATTGAATACCCAGTCATTCATAAGAAGTACATATGTATGAAAGGGTTCCTCAGTGGTCTGAACGCATCATTGCTTTTCTTATGTGGTTTCCCTTATGAGATTGTGCACATCTATTGGGTGTGATGAAATGAATAAAAAATAAATAAGTCGAGAAATTGGTGAACAATTCCACGAGTCTTTTTGAAAACAACTGCACAACAGTCAGGTTCCTGATTTGCTGGACCAATATTATTGTACACACCTACTCCCACAACTTGTCGTAGTGACTGTACAGCGTTTGATTTTACAATGCAGTCGCTACGACGAATTGTGGGAGAACGAATTTTGCCCATAATCAAACTTTTTAGGTTGTCCTTCTGGACATGAATCATGTCTACGGCATTGATGTGTCGACGTTCGCTTTTGTAGCAGATGAAGTAACAGCAGTTCTGGGGAGTTCTTTATTGTGCCCTTTCCCACCAGATATCGATACGGTTACCCTCAGTTACATGTGGTCATCTGGTTACAGGTGAGACATTACGAATTCCGGTCCTTTTCCATTTTTAGGTCTAATACGATATTTTCTGACAATGATGTTGGTTTCTGTTTTCAGAGTGATTGTTTTTTGTCCCTTCGAACAAAAGGCTCCAACGACTGTTTCGATTTTCGGAGGAGACCCTCCGATTTTATTCTGGCCCTGCTACTCAATAAAATCACCGTGGCCAAATGCTAATCACTTGAACGCCCTTATCAAAGCACTCCAGCGTGACTTGGAATCACGGCCAATGGCGAAGGATGCAGAGAACTCGCCACCATTTTTTGTATCGGGTGTTCTCACGCACACATTGGGATTGTGGCGGGCGGGCTGGTTGTGGACATTATTTTCTGCAGTGTGTCCTTCGTCGAATACGAGGCGTCGAACAGTGGCGTGCATAAATCTCCTGGGATGTTCGGATTCCGTTAAAAATTGGCGGGCCGCTTAAGGCACAGCTATCATGCCGGGGCTTCTGAAAGTACCGGCTATTATTGTGTCCTATCCGCCTCTCATACAAGGATGGATATTGGAAGTATGATGCAGCTGCGCCTGTGCAGGGGATCGTCCTTGCTGCCATGAGCGCATATAGCGGCTTGCTTTTAATTGCTAGTCAACCTACTTTGAGGATATAACGGGCATTACCGAATTTACCAAGTATTTGTTTAGAGGGCGGAAGTGGTGTAGTGACAAGTGGCGCGCTTACCACGCGAGCGGTCCGGGGATCAAATCCTGGGTCGTGAGTCGCCCGGGCCAACCAAGCCTTCCATCCCTCCGGGGTCGGTTAATTGGTACCAGACTTTGTCTGGGAGGATAAAACTGACTTGACATCGGCTGGCCCCCGCAAGTCATTGTATAGGCCACATCGCATTCAAACGCCACTGCGAATGTACAAATGGAAGTAGAATGCGTGCCGCATCCCAAAAAGGGATTGATCAACGGCAAATGCTTTATCCTTTATCCTTTAATGTTTGAGTGGTACCTATCTTCTTTATTTCGTATAACTCGCCCCCCGGTTGAAGAGGCGTTCCAAACTCCGCGTGAGTATGCATTCTTTGCCTCCGAGATGCACTGCGGCTCTTCCGGCTCAAGTTGCTCAGAATCAACAGTTTGATTTTGATGCAAGTCACGCTTGGCTTTCATCAAAATCTGTAATGTTTAATGTTTGTGAGTGGCTTATGCGAAAACCATAAAAGGTCAAGCGATTTGTGTGTCAGTTTTCATGCTTGTAGATGAGCGTGACTATGGCCTTTGTCCTGCTCAAATGGGGGTTAGAATATCCTTTGAAAAACCTCTGTATATTAATGCACTGGTGATCCTCTGCATGTTGGCATTTCCGAGACGTGCAGAAGCATGCGCCCTTCTTCAACACTATACTCTTTTTCACAAAATATTTTTTCAAAGGACTTATCCCGAACAATTAGCAAACGGCTCATCATGGTAGCTTTGCGGAACTCGAAGTTTCTCTGGGCAGAATTGAATGTACCATTAGTTCTATACTCTTTTTGTACCGAAAAGTACAAAGTAAAGCATGTGTATTTAAGAACTAAAGAGAGAAAGCTTCTCACAGCGTCACTGCTCGGTAACTGTAGGAAAGAGATCCATCAAACAGCCGTTCACGGCTTCTAAAGATCTCGTATAGGGGGAGGGATCCTTTCAGGGCAAGCCATGCTTTCTCAAAACGGTTCTTTGCATATTGTATGGACGCATGTATGGATCACAAAACCGTCTGTCTCGTCTTCGCTAAACGGTTTTACTAGTTTTAACACATTGCGTACCGCGTGCGCCACCATGTGGCGCACGATTTCAAGCGAAAGATCATAGTTTTATCTGATTTATTTGGCATTTTTCAATGCTCCTGAAGTGTTTGCACTCATTTTCAGAGCCAGGAAACAATAAGTATCATCACTGATAAAATTGTTGATAGATTAATGATGATTCATTTTCTAAAAACATAAAAAAGGTATGGAGGTCCTCGTATAACGGCGGTCCGCAATGTGTTAAATAAATTGTGAAAGATAGTGTTGCAGGTTCGATCCCCGTGGCGACTAAATTTTGCATTTGGGTTGGCGCCTACGGTTGGTGCCAAATCGCGCTAAATGTCAAAATCAGATGTCAAATTCATCGTCAGGACCATTTTGAAGCCAACAAGTGGCCGCCAACCTTGATTGCAAAATTTAGTCGCCGCGGGGGATCGAACCATCAAGAGTATTATTCACCACTTTTTTGGTACTACTAAAACGTTCAGCGAAAACGAAACATGGTTTTGTGGTCCATACATGCGTCCCTATGCAGGCAGAAACCGTTTCGAAAAGGCGCAGTTCGCCCTGAAGGACCCC